CAGAGGATCCAGGAGAACTGCGTTCGAGTTGTAGATGGAATAGGCGAAGCAAAACGCGGACAGACCATATGCAGTCAAGACATAGGGGCGATGAGAAGGAGCCTGGAACAAAATCACTTGTCCGGCTTTTAATACTTTCGATTGCAGCTTCGCAAGGGCACGAGGGTTCTTGTTCCCATAAGGGCTTGCAGCCTGCCACGCGGAATCGACAGTTCTGGCCACGCCCTTGGCCTTGTAATGAGGTGCACTAGAATTGAAGTACCGCAAGGATGATGTCGTGTTCATTTGAAAGCCAGGTCGCATCGGACTCTGTAGGCATTGGCGCCAGAATATTGAGAAGGTGGGTGGTTTGACGGACATGGTTGTACTGAGCCTATGAATACTCATGTTAGTAAAGCGATCAAGCTCATGACATGCAGCCAATTGACACCCATAAATCTGCAGGGAAATTGGGAAAGCATCAACGACTAAATAGCTTCGCTCGGTAACTTACGAGGACAAGAATCAATTGACCGTCGTTCTGATCGGAAATCGCCGATAATGGCCAAAACAGCAGGCGGCAGAAAAATGTTCCCGTCCCGGCCGCCGGTGAAAGCTCCCAACGCCCTCAACACCTCCGACAGCTGCTTTGGAATTACCTCTCTAAATTCACGACCTCAAAAGAATTGAACTAGGAGATTTGTGCGCTTTGACCTGGTGGTGGGCTCTTCGTTGATCCTGCTCGTTCCTTTCGAATCCAGCGTCCGCGGCGAGTTGCGACACCGGCCGAAGATCCCAATCGGCACCGCAGCACTCCCAATCTTCCAAAACTCCAGAATCACTTAGCAATGGCAGCCAAGATCTCAGCCGGTCAGGTTCCGGCCATGTTTGCTCGGCGTCAGCAGAAGGTGTTCGGTGTCGGCAGACGTGAGTTTCCTATCCATGTTCAGCAAACAGCATCCCGCAACGGAAATCCGCTCCTCTGCGGAATTCCACGACGAGAGTTACTTGTGATATAACAAGCATTACTTGACACGCGCTGATACTGTTATTACTTTTAGGCCTGCAATCCACCGCTCCCACAACCCAGAACCCCGCCTATCCGCTCTACCCCTCCGTCGCCCAGCTCCTCCGTGAGAAGGGCATCCCCAAGTCCGATGTCTCCAAGATCCCAGCCTCGGGCCCTAAGGGTCGTCTCTTGAAGGGCGATGTGCTCGCATATATCGGCCAGATTCCCGCAAACTACCCGTCGGACCAGGCCGCCACTCTGGCCAAGCTTTCCCACCTCGATCTGAGCAACATCAAGATCGCCCCGGCCCCGGCCCCGGCCGCGCCGGCTGCGGCTGAAAAGGAGACTGCCCCCGAGCCCCTCCCCCTGACTTCTGTCGCCATCTCCATTTCCCTGGCTGCCGTGCTGTCTGCCCAGAAGAAGCTCCAGGATAACCTGGGGGTGACAGTCCCGCTGTCCCGCTTCCTTGCCGTGGCCACAGACCTTGCCAACGACGACCTGCCCCGCTTGGCTAACTTCAAGCCCTCCGCCGATGAGCTTTTCGACGAGGTTCTTGGTGCCCAGCCCATCAACACATCCCGCGGTGATTACATTCCCGAGCTGAACGCTTTCGAGGCTACCAAGACTGTCCGCTCGAAGCCTGTTACCGAGGACCTGATCGACTTCCTCAGTGCCAAGTCGCCCAAGAAGTCTGTGCCTACGTCTTCGGCTGAGAGCTCTGTTGGTGTTGCTTCCAATGTTTTCAGCTTGACCGTCCCTGTTGGTGAGGAGACCCGCGCTAAGGCATTCCTGGAGCGAATCAAGACTCTTCTCTCGGTTGAGCCAGCGCGATTGGTGCTTTAGATTTCCTTCGGTGTTTCAAATCTCCCTTCTTCGAGTTTTTATTTTGTTTGTTCCCGGTCATCTGAGCCAAAAACTGGGCAGGCGAAGCTCATTCATGAATGTATACAGTATAGCATAGTTAATCAGATATTTCCTTGATTGGGTTACTTCGCTTGAAAACAAGCAATTAGATCACAATACTACAAAATGGTCTTAGTCAAGTTGAATGAGGACTTAGACCTCCAAAAAGCATATATGTGTCTATCCAATTTCGATTCTCATTTCGTTTCCGGCAGGGTTTAGATCCCGTGAAGGTCCGGTTTGCAGAGCTAGATCATCTGAAATAAGAAAATGGGCACAAATTTGTACCAAAAAAAAAGGGTCATGGCATCATCAAAAGCAACCTTGCAAAAGACAAATTGGAATGAGAACCCCCACGCAGCGCCACATACCGGCAACCAGGAAACACCACAAGCGCCGCCGCTCAAAGCCTTGAAGAAACGTGGATGTAGAAATGTTCGCTCAACTGCAAGGCACCCGGCTAGTATAGCCAGCCCAAATCAGAGCCAGAGTAGGAACGAACCGATAGAAGAGATCAAAGAAAGCAAAAGGAGGAGGAAAATGAAAATGAAAAAAAGAACTCAAACAAGCAAATACCCATTCCGAATCAACGAGCGCCGGACGTCCACCCGCGAAATGCATTGAACCACCATTGGAAAGAAAGATGCAATAAATGCAGAGGCATTAAAAAAAACGAAGATTCAGATCCCCTTCAGGCCATGCAATGATATTCCCCCAATGACCAAACCGAAGCGAACCGAAAAACGCCATGTCGAATGCAGATGAAGAGACGAATTGGAAAGTAGACAGGGTTAACCGAACTACCATTTGAACTACCGGATGGTGCCCCATTCAGCCAGTTTGCTACCTTCTCGACGAGTGTCTCTTGTGGCTCGTCTATCAAATATTTTCCAGAATCTGAGTGTTTCGTCGCCTGCTCCTGTCACGACAGTCTGGCCGTCAGGGCTCATGGCGAGGTAAAGAACGCGGAAAGTGTGGCCGGTCAACGAGACGATTTGTTCCATACGTGGGTATTTCCAAATCACGATTTGGTTTTGGCTGTAACCGTGTGTGCTGATAATCTCGTCCGAGTTTTTGGACCAAGAGAGGTTGCAGACCTGGCTACCAGTGTCGACCTCTTTAATCATTGAGCCAGTTTGTGTGTTCCAGAACTTGATTGTGCGGTCAGCGGTACCACCACCAGAAGCGAGAAGATGATGTTGGTGAGGAGACCATGCAATGGCCTTGACTGCGGCGCTGTGGTCGGAGAAACGGTAGAGGGGTGTCTCGCTCAGCTTATCCCAAACCATCAGTTTGTTGTCGTTGCCGCCAGATGCTAATTGGCCGTCTTCAGTGTTCCACTTCAACCCACACACTTCTTGTTTGTGGCCAGAAAGCTTTCGAATGTACTGGTCCGGAGATCGAACATCACGGTGATAAATGAGACGATCTCGAGATCCTGATGTCAGGATGTGATCGTTCCACGCCAAAGCGCCAACTCTGTTGGTATGTCCAATCATGGTTCGCAGCCGCCGGCAATGCTCAGCATCCCATATTTGTACGAGACCTTTACCTGTGCCAATTGCAAGATGTGTACCCTGTAGTCCATAGAGTTAGTATAATGGATGGAGCGTTAACATTGAGAATCCTTGCGTACTCTTTGAATCCAGCTCACGCTGGTCACAGTATCATCTTTCAGCTCGCACAACCTCGTAACTCCACCCGTGTGGGAGTTCCACATGTAGACAGAGTTGGCCAATCCAACGCCAAGAACGTTACTACTCCCCCAGTCCACCAGGTTCAAATAGAAGTCGTCTTGGAGATCCGGTGCATCTAAGACCTTGTAGGGCACTTTGTTCACATAGCGGGCCTGTTTTCGGGGTGTTTCGAGAATACGCTGGCTGTCATATCGAATAGGAGAAAGACTGTAGAGCTCAGAGCGGACGTCTAAGTTTGGGCCATGCACACTTCGGGGGGTTTTAGAAGGCGTTGGATGTCCGGATCCTGGTCGTGAAGGTCCATAGTTGAAAAGGTTCTTGTGTGGGGTCGTGGGGGTGATGCTAGCGGGAGGAATATTGGCGGCGATATGAGCGGGAGGTGTATGTGATCGAGTCTTGTCATTGATTCCATTACTGAAGCCGAGCAATGGGTCGGATGGCGCAGAGTTCAAGTCAGGCTGTGGAACCGTGTTTCCAAATAGCTCGCTGCGCAAAACCCGGGAAAATGTACGGTTGGCTTCCTCAGCTACAGTTCAAAGTCAGTTCAAATTTACAACACATCAAATTCTGATGAATAACGCACTCTTTTGGAAATGAAGCTCAGAGTGAGGGGGGCGTTTCTTGGCCTTGGAAGGAGTAGATGGGCAACCATCTTCATGTAATAGACTATAAGTCGCTTGTAGATCTTGTCCATCGCGATTAGGAATGAATCTGAATTGTGGTCAGTAGCTGAGTCACAGGTGACTGCCATTGCTGTCGCAGGCTTCCTGATTGAAGATGATTAAAACTGTGGCTTACCGGTCCCCGTAGACCCGCTGTCTCTTGCGACATGGACTGGAGGCCGGGGTCCTGTCCCGCCGGCTCCCAGCAGTCTCATAATCCTTCAATGCTTTTGCAAGCGCACTGGGGTCGATTGGCTCTGCTCCATCTTGCCGTTGGCGGCTGCCCGAATTTGAATTGTCTGGGAAATACATCGTGCGCTTTGACGGCATGCTTGGCGGTGTCTTCGATCCCGGCGGTGATGCAATGTTTGAGATTTGCGATATTTGAGGTCTGGTTGCTGACCTATTCCCGGCCTTCTCTGGATTTTGAGGTCTGTCCGCCATGGCGATGCCTGGTCGTATGTCCGAGTCCCAGAGACAAAGTGCAACCGATCAAGACAGAGATAAGAGTTGCATAAGATGGAAGTGAAGTGGCTGTCAATCGAGGATGTCAAATAGTCGGAGATTTAGGAGTAGGGTCAAGGGTATTTGAAGGGCGATTCGCAGAGGGTCCGTTGTTGTTGATCCAGCGGTGGAACGATGGCGGCAGCCGTTGACGCCCGAATATGGAATATGTTCCAGGATAAAGCACCAGCAGACCCTGATTCACCACGCAGTCAACAAAGAAGTGTCTTAACTGCAGGCATGTGAATGAATGAATGTCTTCAAGGGAGTGACGGAGTTGCGCAGGGCGACTCTCTGGGTCACGCGTCGGGTACGCTAACCCGATTTAGCGAAGGCAATCGGGCCCCATCAACCAGGTCAAATCAGTAGTTGTCCTTGGCCTTTCACCCACTGATTTATATTTATATTCCATTGACTATTTCAAAAGTAGAGTCTAGCTCTTTAAGCTACCGTCACAAAGCAAACTTATGCTGGTTCCCGAGATTCTTGGAAACGTTCTGTGTCAGCATGGCTTTGTTACAATTGAGACTAAACCCACACTGTTAGTCCTGTTGTTTACTGGAAGGGACGCGCCAAACCTGGCCTAACTGGACCACTGAAGTGGGGGGGAATGTGAGGGATCTGTACTCCGTATGGGCCGTTTTACTAACGCGAAATCTGGAGATTGCTTTGGTATACGCGCTTGCTTGGACGCGACGCGACGAAGCTTGGGCCATGGCAACGACAATACCAATAAATTATGCCCCAAAGCTTCTATAGTGGGGTTGACTATACAACCAAGAATCCATAACACACGAAATTGTAAAAAGTGAAACCTACAATGTCTGTCTGAATACGGACTACGTACCTGAATATCAATAGATAGTTCTAGAACTATTAATACCCTCTAGTTTCAGTGGTGGCTTTGTTACGTGACATTGCCATCCGCAGTCACCGCCAAACCAATAAAATCTCCGGCGGCAAAAGCCAACTTTCTCTTTGTGTGCCCCTGCAATGGTCCTCAGGCGTCTTGGTCCTAATATCATTGGTTGTTCTCAACGTTATTCTACAATGGCTGCCAAGCAACCTGCTCTGGACTTCTTGTCCTTTGTGAATTCTGCTCCTACCCGTATGTAGTTTCCATCTGATGACGCGGAATGTCGCTGATCTGTCTTATCTCCAGCTTTCCATGCCGTCCACGAAGCCAAGAAGCTTCTGGCTGATGCTGGATTCCAAGAAATCAAGGTCTGTTCAAACTGACCATCGGAGTAATAAGATTATGGCTCATCCATCAATAGGAGAGAGACTCTTGGGCGTCGACCTGCCAGCCGGGAGGCAAGTACTACTTGACTCGCAACACTACTACCCTTGTGGCTTTTGCGATCGGCAAGCAATGGCAGGTATGTGTCAATTATGAATGGTATAAATAATCTTTCACATATTAATCATGTATATAGCCGGGCAATTCCATCTCTATGATCGGTGCCCACACCGACTCTCCGGTGTTGAGGGTGAAGCCCGTTAGCAAGAAGAGCGGGGAAGGTTTCGTTCAGGTCGGTGTTGAGACCTACGGTGGAGGCATCTGGCACACTTGTACGTGCCATTGATCACCTCAAACTTTTCCGTCGCTAATTACACACAGGGTTTGATCGTGATCTCGGTGTCGCTGGTCGGGTTATGACTCGTGAAAGCGATGGATCTATCGTGCAGAAACTGGTCAAGATCGACCGCCCCAGTATGTTTTATGCTGACCCGATGCATGCGTCTTGCTAACATATTAGTCCTCCGTATTCCAACACTGGCCATCCATCTGGATCGCCAGGAGAACTTTGCATTCAACAAGGAAACACAGCTGTTCCCTATCGCTGGCCTTGTCGCTGCGGAGCTTAACCGCAATGACGGAACCAACACCCCTGACACAGACAAGGGTGGTGAATTATTCTCGCCATTGAAATCGGTCACAGAACGTCATCACTCTCACTTTGTTGAGCTTATTGCTGCTGAGGCTGGCGTCAACCCTACCGATATTCTGGACTTCGAAATGATCCTGTTCGACACTCACAAGTCCTGCCTCGGTGGTTTGCTGGAGGAATTCATCTTTTCCCCTCGCCTAGACAACCTGAACAGCACTTTCTGTGCTACAGTTGGTCTGATTGACTCTGTGGCCGACGAATCAGCCCTCGATGACGAAGAAGCCATCCGCCTGATTGCCTTGTTTGACCACGAGGAAATCGGAAGCCGCACCGCACAGGGTGCGGACTCCAACATTCTCCCGTCGATTATTCGCCGTCTGTCCGTCCTCCCGTCCTCTTCCTCCAAGAGCACCGACCTATCAACTGCCTATGAGCAGACTCTGTCCACCTCCTTCCTTGTCTCTGCCGACATGGCTCACTCGGTCAACCCCAACTATGCGGGCAAGTACGAGTCGGACCACAAGCCGGAGATTAACAAGGGCCCGGTTATTAAGATTAACGCCAACGCGCGCTATGCGACGAATTCTCCTGGAATTGTTCTCCTGGAGGAGATTGCGCGCAAGACCACCAAGGAGACTGGCGAGCACGTTCCTCTCCAGCTCTTTGTGGTTCGTAATGACTCCAGCTGTGGCAGCACCATTGGCCCTATGCTCTCTGCTGCGCTAGGCGCCCGGACACTGGATCTGGGTAATCCCCAGCTCAGCATGCACAGTATCCGTGAAACAGGCGGCACCTATGATGTTGCCCATGCCATTCGTCTCTTCACTGGGTTCTTCAAGCATTACTCAGAGTTGTCGAAGACGATCCTTGTGGATTAAGCTTACCGTAAATAAGTGTATGAAGTAGCACAAACAATAAACTACATTCAAACAAAGTAGTATTCCATTTTCAGGCATTGGGGTGTCGAATTGATTGTATATAACACCAGAACATCTTACAATGAAAAAGAAACCTATGCGCATGTACCTTGGGAGAAGCACGTGGCCCGGACCGAGGAAACTCCGCCTCGACACATCTCCGTCTGCAATCCATCAATAGTTACCCCAGCTCACCAAATCACGGGGAGTCTCCACCTCGACTCCTTATACCTTCGCTTGTTGGATATCTTCCAAGCCCTCATGACCCTCTATGACAGACGTTGATGCCTATCGGGATGCGGAATACATCGCTGACGTGTCCGGCATATCCTATGACGATGCGGAGCCTCCCAGGCCAACAGGCACGCTGAGAAGCCAAAATGCGCGTGTGAAGAAAATAAAGTCGACCGCCAAAGTCGCCTTCATTGATCGATTGCTGCGCGATCTCGACATATTAATTTATTGTCAACTCTCCGCCCTGTATTACATGGAGTAAGTCCAACTCCAAACCCCAGCAATGATCTCCACTCTCCACCCCTCCTTTCGCCATGACAATCCCCCTAACATCTATCTCTCTCGGTCTAGCTGCTCGATTGTCTTATTTGCCATACGTGCCATCGTCGAATTGATCTTCTTCACGCCCAAAGCACCCCCTTTTGAACCCACACGCAGTCAGCCGTTTGTCGGCGCCATCATCGGCAGTAACCTCATCTGCATGCTCTTCCATGCCTTCCTGGTTCGTCCCGAAGCTGGCGAGGAAACACGCGGCTACCTACATGGCGGACTGTTCATCGATTTCATCGGGCAGTCTCCCGTCTCTATTTACCAGCTTCTCTCGTTCGACCTTTTAATCTTTATAATCGATTTTATCATGCTGGGCTTGATTATCGAGCGGGTGAAGACTAATGGAACACCCACCCCAGCGCCTACAATGCCGAATCCAAATCCACCCGCAGATACGCCCGCAGATACAAGCCCAAATGCGGAAGACTCCCAGCCACAAGACCATGATGCTGAAGAGCGTGGCGTTTTACGACAAGAGGATAGCGATGAAACAGTGTCCCCCGCCCAGTATAGTTCCGATTCACATCACAGTAGCGGCATTGACGAAGAGGTCGAAGAAGAGCGCACGACGCTCTTGGCCGACCCGGCGGACACTGAATCTGGCAGTGGTGCTCGGGGCGAGCACCCGATGGATACTTTCGCTGCTGGTGAGGCTGTCATTCTCAGTATGAGCTTCCTAGGTACAATTCGTGATCAGTGGCGCCAGTCAAATTCGGCGGCACGACCGACGTCAGGCTTTGTGCCATCACCCGAAACGGCAACGTTCCTCCGGCAGCGCTTTGGTCTCCAGGTTGGGACTAATGGTCGCATAGAGCGTGCGAATACAACATGATGCAAAGTATTTCAGCTCCGGTAGTAAACTATATATATGTACTAGTAAACTTCCATGAACAAAAGCTTTACTACCATGCTTACAAGTTGTTCTATTGGATTTTTTTACGCATGGATCAACATATTCCTCTTACTCGGGAGTTTCGGACCAACCTGCGGACGAGAGCTTGCTCTATCCTGGGGCAATTAGAGGCATATCAGAATCGTAGAAGTTTCGTTTTACTGATGATGAACCTTGAAGTTGACTCTTCAATCATAACATCCATGGATGCTACAATGTTGGAGTCTTCGCCCTTGCAAGACAAATGCTTACTGTAGATCCTTGGAAACCCTGAGGTTGCCTTAAATTTACATATATCTTAGTAGTATCCAGATTCAACCTAAATTCAAAACAAACCCCCCAATTAGGGCAGAGAAGATGATCATAACCGATTTTATTAACACGCAACCCTGCAAAGCAGCAAATGAAGTCCTATAGGCTAAACAGGAGACACCGAACCCCTTGTATATACCAAAGCACCATAAACATATTATGCAATTTACGCAGTAGGAGGCTTAGACTCTTCCCCGGCACCATCCTTCCCCTGAACTCTACGGTCCAGAATCTCATCAATAACACCCAGCTCGAGGGCCTCCTTAGCGCCCATAAAGTAATCGCGCTCCATAAGATTCTCAATCTCATCGAGGGACAACTGCTTCTTGCCAGTAAGATGGCGTTGGTAGATCTCATTGAGCTGAGTGCGCACACGCAGGATCTCTTTCGCGTGGATAGCGATGTCGGACGCCTGTCCGAAGTAGCCGCCCGAGGGCTGGTGCACCATGATCGATGAGTGCGGGAGACAGTATCGCTTGCCTGCTTCGCCGCCGGCAAGGAGGAGGGAGCCCATCGAAGCGGCTTGGCCAACGCAGATTGTGCTCACGGGAGAGGCAATATATGTCATTGTGTCGTAGATCGCGAGGCCTATGGGATTATTGGTCAGTGTAGGTCGGTGATAACCATTGGGGAAGTCCATGTACCGGCTGTGACGGAGCCTCCTGGTGAGTTAATGTAAAGGTGGATTGGTTTGGCAGGGTTATCGGCTTCGAGGAAGAGGAGTTGTGCGACTATCGATGCGGAGAGGGTGTCGTCGACTTCGCCGTTAAGGCAGATGATGCGTTCCTGGAGGCTTGATTAGCACGAGTAGGTTGCGATGGAAGGGTCCTCCTGGGCCTTCATTACCTTCATTAATCGAGAAAATATATCATCTGTAGTGCGCGACATAAGTTAGTAGGTTGATCACGTTCCGGGTCGTGTGCAAGCTTCGTCGACGGATGCAATTGCGCAACATACAAGTGTGCCAGCCACCTCCCTATTCAATGTTATCAGTATATGCGCATTGAGTACTTTTTGCGCCCATATGGGATGTCAATCATACCACTGTCTCTGTCACAAATGGTGTCGGTGTCCAACTCCGCGGGGGCTGCGCAAGCGAGCGTCCTGGGTTCGAGAAGCATCGTGCGAATCTGGCAGCGGGCCGGGCGACAGTGATGGGGGAATGTTGGATAGACCGCCCTAGTTGTTGTAGAGGAGCTCTTGGAGGCATCTTCAAAAATATGCAAAAGGATTTGTAGCTGGGAGTTGGAGATGCAGAGTCGGGATCCGGAGACCCTGGACGGTGAACCGTCCTATACGATAAGAGCGACGCTAAGATAAGAAGCTCAGGTGAACAGCGGTAGCAACAATGCCAGCGACTGTCTAGTATCAACTTTCTCTGGAGAATAGAATTTTTTTAGAGGAAATTTCTAACCTAGTATATGAGAACCCCAATTAGTTTGTTTCACCACCTGTAATGCTACTCGGCAATCACTGTTAGACCAACAACTTCTCCGCAAATAAGGGGCTCCGATTGGCTCCTGCAGCAGCTCCGAGATCATCTTTTCCGCCCTGGACTGAACTCGGCTCACCATCAGCTCTATTCCCCCAACCGTCCAAACAATGGAGTGTGTGGGCACACGCATCCCGTACGCAAAATGGCGCCTGAGTGCTTTCCGACAATTGCTAGCGACATCGCAAGCTAGCCGGGGCATCTCGACCTCGCGACAAACTGACCAACTCAATGCAACTACGTTGGAAACAAAGACAGGCAATTTGAATCCGGACTCCGCGCCTCCTTCGCAACGGCTCCCGCAGTCCCCTCTCCTCGCACGTCTTCGCTCTGGATCTGAGAAGAATCGCAAAAGACGCCCCACGACACAGGAGGAAGCCGACCTGCTCAAGAACCCTTGGGCCGTAATGCTGGCTTCCCCGGCACGTATGTGCTCTGTAACTGGTGCAAGACTTCCATCTGCCCTGCTGGGGACTTGGGGGCTTGTTAAACAACCAAATTCAGACAAGCTTCATATGATGCCTGTGGGTCTGCTGCAGGACTCGCTGCAAGGCAATAAGACCAAGAACCTCAGTTCATCATCAGAGCAAACCATCCCAGACCAACAAGAAAGCCCAAGAATCGGGAAAAAAGGTCAGGAAAAGGGTCATTTGGATGTATCACCAATCTCAACATCCCCGGATAAGCAATCTGGACGCCAGCTTGTGCTTCGCATTGCTGAGCTTCTTCCACTTATTCGATCTATTTCAGCGTCACTCTCCAAGAAAAACAGAAAAAGACAACCGATTATGCGGCTGTTGCCATTCCGCTGGAGGCACCCCCAGGGCCCTGTGACGGCGCACGAAGAGAAAAGAATCATCTGGTCGAAGGATACGCCGGAATTCATGTTGCAGAGTATGAGGAGTGTCGTTGTCAAGAAGCTGGGTGCGGTCCTCGAGAAATACAAGCGTGTCGGTACCCCCAATGGGGTTTGGAGAGCTCTAGATCTACCCGAGTCCTCGGATGCTGCGCTGAAGGAGGCTCTGGAAAGCCTAGAGCGATTTGATCGTATGGAATGTGGTGGAGTCCTGCTTCTTGATTCGAAGAAATCTGCGGCTGCCACGCATACGTCTCAATCAAGCGGCTCTTTGAACTCGGTGACTCTCACGCAAACTGGGTCAAAGGTTCCTGTGTTTGATCTGTCAGTGCTTTTCTCTGAGTCTGATATCAACAAACTCCGTGAATCCCACAGTCAGTTCCAGCACACTGCACTGTTTTTCAGACCAGAGGATCAGCTCGGTATTGATGCGATGATATCCCTCTGGAAAATCAAGCGGCTTCTTGATGGGATTGATCTGACAGAGCAATGAAGTCGCCGTATAATCGAATAATAAAATGACACATACAATCATTCGTTCGACCCTGGGGTCGTGAAAAGCATATCGAACTGTCAGGCCACAATTATATGGATCATGCCAGGGTAGATACCATTTGATGTGAATCAGAGTCAAATGCATGCCTCTGGGAAATAGGATAGCGACATGAAGAGTGCAGCCTAAAATCTGCGCTAGAGCACCTGTCTGACACTGAGAGGAGCCCCATCGTGGTAAGGGCCGCGATGACGAGTGCGTGTCTCCATTTGATATATACTAGTGTTTATGGTCCTCTTCCACTTTTCTTCTTGGATCAGTTGTCAATATTCCCATCTCGTATGAGATCCGTATCTGATCATTCCAAGGTTGCACTCATATCACTTCAATTCCTGCGAAGTCAATGTTTAGTTTGCCTTCGTTTCTGCCTTGCACTTATGGCCTTCGTTTCAGCCCAGTGCATATAGATAGACCCATCCCCCCAGGTTCATAAAAATTCAACTGTCCTGCCTCTCCCTGTCTGTCCATCAATATCAAATACCTCTATTTTCTATTATATACGGCTATATATATAGCCTTGACTTATCTAGCCTCTTGGGACTTGTTACCATCCTCGGAGGTTGGACATGATCACTGTCTCTTTGCAAGTATTCTGCGACAATGGTTTTGATAAAACCTTGTCACAACACTACAAGGTTACACCGAAAAAGACTCACAAAGTTGAAAACAACAGCCTATAGTCATTGAGTCGCGACTTTCTCATCATTACTTATATATCAGTCAAAACCCCCTGGTGGTCCTATTGCAACCCCCCCCC